AACAAAAGAAGCAGTCACAGAAGATTTACAATAGAATTCAACTTATAAAAGTTCAAAATAAGCAAAACTATAAACACACATGTGAAATATATATACACATGTATACATATACATTCATGCATGAAATATGCATACTGTGGTAAGGTCATAAACGTAAAAACACAGTAGTAGTTATCTCTGAAGGGGAGGGAAGAGAACATAGTCAGAAAGGCAGACGTGTAGGGTCCAGATTAACTACAAATGTTTCAGTTCTTGGGCTCTTTACACAGTGGTTCCTTTGGGTTATTTACACCGAGTTGGTAGATTTTTATACATCTTTATGAATCTTTTCTCTTATAATAAAATCACATATTGCATATATTTATATGAAAGAGAAAAATGAATCTCTGGTGTTTGAGCCAAGGGCAGCTACTGATGCTTTCAAGAGCTTTGGGCCTCACCGTAATGAGTTTCCTTGCATGACCTACTTCAAAGTAAAACTGGCTCAGCCTGACGGTGGACTCATCCTTGGGCACCTACACTAATGACTGTGGTTGTTACAATTCTATTTCCATTCATCCCTTATTCCCATCCTCATCCATTGTGCTACTACAGCAACAAAAAAGCTGCCATAGAATGTGAGAGCCATATGCCAACAGGGCTAGGAGATAAGACAGGAGAGGGAAGCCTGTTTTGGAGATAGTCATTCCAGAAGGAATCAGATTATTGGCACTTCCTTTCAAGGGAGTTGCCAATGCCTTTGATTTTGTAAGTGAACAGACACGAGCGAGGATGACCCTCCGTCAGCAAAGGGCACAGGTAGAAGCAGCACAGAGGCATTCTGGGAGGCCCATAAAATAAGCAGGCTCTGGGGATGGAACAGAATCTGTGAGCTGGGAGGCAGCCTGGGCACAGGAGGTGGCTCCAGGAGCAATTTACACAATGCTGAGATGGGCACAAAATGCAGAGGAAACTCATAGGACAGGGTAATCAATCACTGCCAAGTGTATCTTCTGACAGGGAGCAGGACTCCAGCTTCCAGATGTAACATGAAAACGTAATGTGGCCCCTGGGACTGAGCATGGCAGCTTTCCCTGAAGCTCCGGTCTCACTCAGTTAACTAATTAGGAGAGAATGTGACACTGGTGTTTATTATTTCTACCATTTCTACCGGGACAAATCCTTCCCAGCAGGAGGGAGAGGTTGTTGTGTTTGTTCTGTTTTGTTTTCTCATTAAAAAGAAATGACTGACACTGTAGTAAATAAACTCTTGTTAGAGAGAAAGGTTTTTTCCTCCATAAAATCCTCTCAGCTCACTTTCCTGCTGATCATCGTTTCTTTTGTTTTCTGAGGACATGGTGGCTAAATGAGCCGGTGTTAGACTGGGCTTGAAAATTAATTCTACCACGGACTAGCTGTGTGATCCTAAGCAAGTTATTTGAGAACTCTGAATTGCTTCCCCAACTGGGGAATTGGGGGTAATACCTGCTCTTGAGTGCTGTTTGTGGAGGATGAAATGACAAATAATGTAGTGGAAACACTTCAGCACAGTGTCTGCACATAATAAGTACTCGATAAATTTTAGCCTTTATTTTTAATGACTATGATACTCTAGTCTATAAATAGAAACGTTTTACATTTCATTTATGCCTGTGTCATCAACTCCACATGACAAGTCATCTAATCATAAAGGGAACCTTTATTCTAGTTTATACAAGCGGCATTAACCATGCTCCTCCTCCTCACCCAGCTGTAAAAAGTATTCCTATGAAAATTTAATATTTAATAATAATGTCAAAGGAAACTGTTCTCCACCACAAGCACCACCACTTCCACCCCGCCCCTCCCCAACCAGCACATCTTTTAAGTTTTCATAGGCAGCGCCAGTGCCAAGCAAACATCACTAGTAAACACACGTCCCTGTGCACTGCTGGGCCAACAATAGCTTTACGTCTGAGGTGCTTTTTAACAAATTAGAAAGTGATTTCACAGGTGATTTCCCATTTGAACTCACAGCAATCCCATGATGTGGGCAGGGTAGATGTGAATAGCCCAGTTTTACAAACAAGGAAGCAAACTCAGAGGATAAATGCCAAAGCCACGATATTCAATTTTCTATGAAAAGGTAATATGTGTGAATTCAGATGTCAGGATTTTTGAACTTCAGAAAATTAGATTTTCTCAAGAATGAAGCCTGTTTTGAAGACAGCCGAAGTGACCAGTGCTTAGAGAGAGAAGTGTGATCATTGGTGAAAAGCAAATAAAATAGTCAAGAAGTATATAGGTCTTTGGCATGTACCTGGGTTGCGGGCACATCCCCAGTGGGGGATGTGCAGGAGGCAGCTGGTCGATGTTTCTCTCTCATTGACGTTTCTAACTCTCTATCTCTCTCCCTTCCTCTCTGTAAAAAATCAATAAAATATATTAAAAAAAAAAAAAAAAAAAGAAGATAGCTGAAGTGACCAGTGGTTAGAGAGAGAAGTGTGATCATTGGTGAAAAGCAAATAAAATAGTCAAGAAGTATATAGGTCTTTATCTTCCAATTTCATAATCATTTGCCCAGTGTGCCCCAATTTTTCCACCCATAAGTTTGAAAAGCAAAAATTCCACTTCTTATGTCTCCTACATTATTCTGTGCAAATGGAAGCTCGATGAAATGATATTCAAGAGATTTTATGCTAATCACAGAATATATGAGCACAAAAATATATGAACAGAAGACCACACATTTTAAGTGCTAGTAAAGAATCTTGGTGATAAAGAAAGGAAGAAGAATATTTTCTAAGGATACATGGGCTAAAGATGATGAAAATTAAATAAAAGTAGATAAATCAGCATTATAACTTTACATTATATATTTGAGTGGTTTTGGAAAGTTGCAGAATCAAACTAAGAGTCATGAACATGTAACAGCATTTTGAAGCCAGGAAAATATAAATGTCCTCTAATTAAGATAATGTTTCTTTAGCTCATCATATATACCAGTTCTTAAAATAATCAATTCTGAAGTGGTGCTATCAATATTGGACTTCCAAGGACACCAACATATGCTCACTGACAGCTCATAACCTTAATAACCCCTAGCAGACTATAGAATTCTAATTCAGAAGTCCCTCTACCCCCTTTCTCTGGAATGGGGGATAAGTTCTTATTGATTGGAAGACAAAGCAGATAAAGGTCAATAGGTGAAATCTTAATTGAAAATACAAACCAAACACAAACTTCTAGTTTATCATTTGAACCTGGAAGCCCAAGGACCTCTAATTTTGCAATAAGAAAACCTAGTCATGCCAACACCAATAAGCAAAATAGCAGACAATAATAGGTCATCATTAGGTGGTCGGCCAGCTGATGATGGGCCTAAACATAATTTGCCCCCTGATTCTTCATAGAACATGAAAGAACTTCATTACAATATTGGGAGAGATTTTATATGAGAACAGAAGAGGCCTGTGCAAAACTTCCTCATTCTCTTCTTAACACATTCATTTAATAAGCATGTTTTTAATGTTTTCTACTTATTGGGATTGATATCAATCTCACAGGGGAGATAGGCAAATCAAGCATCAAATTTATGTGTTAAATTCTAGAGTGAAGGAAAATATTTGCTGCAATGAGAAGTAGGTCATGAAGCTCTCAGAGAGAAGAGATGTTCTAATGAAGTCTCAAATGGTAAATGTATTGTGTATGTGGAAAAAGGAGGAGCAGTTTCCTGTCAGAAAGAGCAGCATGGGTAAAAAGCAGAGAGACTCCAAAAATGAGGTGAGTTCCAGAAATCAGAAGTGGTTCTGCATGGACAGAAGGGGAAAGATGCCAATAGAAGCAATAAGCAGTAGAGGAAGACAAAGGTTCCATCATTTAGAACTTTCTAGTCTGTGTTAAAATACAACATTGGAAATCTGAATACAATTATTGGTCTACTGAAAATATTTCATCCTATAGGAAATGGGAATAGATTTTTACTCTAGAACAACCCGTTTGATGCTATCTAAGCATGCAGTGAAGTAGAGTTAGAAACTCGGAGGTAGAAATGCCAGGTAAAAGACAATTTTAGAGATCCAAGAAAGACATGGAGAGGCCCTAAACTAAAGCAATGGGGATGGAAAAGAGAATAGAGATAAGAGAAATACAAAAAGCAAGAGTGACCAGGTGGAAACAAGGGGAAGAGGGAAGCTTAGAGCAGCTTCCATGGTATTTACTTGGCTGGCTGAATGGAGAATGGTCCCTTCACAGGGAATGCATGAGGAGAAAGCCAGTAGTATTCCTAGAGTCATGTTTATCCCTCTTTTACAAGATTAATCACATTTCACTTTGTATTGCAGTAGATAAGTGTCATTCCACCACCCCCTTCCCCACTAGACCAATAAAGTTCCTTAGGGGAAAAGTTCTGTGCCACACACCACAATAGCATGTTTGTATAACATGATTATTTAGCATAACTGACTCACTGTAGACACAATGTTTTTGAACGTTTGAGTGAATAAGTGAACCACTCCAAAAGTTAGATGTGACAAAAACATACATTTTATTCTTTCAATCACATAGTTATTTCCTAAAATGCCAATAACTCACCTCAGCTGGATAATAACTCATACCACTTACCAATTAGGTTCATTTCAAACTTATAATACTCTGTGCAAACCCCAATGTCTGAACTGGAAGAGACTTTTAGGAATATCTACTACTAACCCCCATTTTAAAAACATCTGTAATTCAAAGAAGTTCATGGCTAGCCCAAAGTCATAAAAGGTTTCTGGCGATGGGACAGAAATCAGGCAGAATATGTCAAGCTTTAATATTTATCAACCAAAATGGTTGTGATATAGTCAAAGAAATACAAGATACTAAATTTAGCTAGGATGAATTAAGTTTTTAAAAGTATTTGACATTTCACACTAAAAAAATACAAGGCAAACATCTTAGACACATTTTCTTAAATAATTCTTTGCTCTTACAATGAAATGTAAGGAGCAGAGCTCAACTTTTAATCCTGAATTAGTACAAGTAAGACAGATGCTTACCGTGATCTTCTGAAGAGACTGGTGACCTAAAATGAGATAATAAGCATGATAAATCTTTTGTAAATGATACTGATAATTATAAGTACAACAATGATCAAGAAATTATACCCTCAAAATTCAGTTAAATAGAACTTCAATAGAGTAGATGGTATAATTAATGTGTTGTTTGCATAGTATATATATATTTTTTCCAATCAATAACTTCCGTTAAGTTACTCCAATCAATAATTCCCAAAGATTACCTGGATTGGTGGAGGGGTAGTGTTACTAGAATGTCTACTGTATAGTGTCATAGGGCCGCACATACTTAGTTAAGTCTGGATTTATCATACACACAAAAAGAACTCATATAAAATGTGATAACAGATGAAATCCTGTGATGTCAGAGTGTGAGTAAGCGCCCAAGCCCAGGCCTCCAGAAAAAATGCCAGAGATGTAAATATGCACTAGGCTGAGTATCTGTGGGCAAAAATTAATCTCTGACAGCAAAAATAGCAGGAATAAAAGAAATGGCAAGTACACTTATTATTGGATTTTGTTTCCACTCTTTGTGGAATTTAATGTTTGAATGAGAATTACATCGACCTTCTATTTCTGGCCGTATGTCTCTAAACCTGTGAGAATCAGGATGAGGAAAGAGAGTAACCTTTGGAGTCCCACAAAACTTTTATAAATTGAAGACTTTGCATGCTATTTGGAGTTCAGCTCTAATTATGACTGATACAAATGAAGCATTATATCAACCTCTTTCACAGTAACCCCCTTTTTCCTTCCACTGCTGACTACTAATTAGTTACTTTGAGCAATACAAACACAGCCTTATTTATGAACTCCTCTCAAGCTTGAAAGGTACAATCTTGACTACTAACTCATTCTTTTCTGGGTAGAAAGAGAAACACATAATACGGAATTCAGGGATGTTTGAATTTTGAAGGAAAAAGCTAGAAATTAGAGTAACCTTTGGAGTCCCACAAAACTTTTATAAACTGAAGACTTCTCCTTTAAAACTTTTATAAATTGAAGTCTTCTCTTTTAAACAATTAGACCGTTAGAGCCCATAGCTGGGAGATGACCAAAGGCCAATGCAAGAGTTTGGTAATAAAGCTAACCATTAATATAACTAATATTAATGAGATGTGATGACAAGGTTGGGAAAAGAATGATTTAGTGGATGCATACTGGTTGCAGGAAAATTTTAGCTACTTTGGGATGCTTGATACTGCTTTATCTACAGATCAGTAATATTTTTGTCCATTTTGTGAGTGAACTGTATGGTATAAAGACACATTAGTGTCATCAGTGGAAAGTGTGTAATCATTTCGACTACAGGTCTCTTCAAGTAAACTTTTGCATGTGAAAATGACAGAAGGTCCCAAGATTTTGTAGGGAGAGAATCAGTATGTAGGACAAGGACACAGGGAACAGTAAGAGGGAACCTACTGTCATCCTAACTATCACTGCATCCCCCCTACCCCACCCCCACCCCAGGTGGATCAGAGTTATCCTCTCCTTGGAGCTCCCCTGTTCCTTACTGTCCACACACTGGTCTTCCCCACAAGGCTGTGAGCTCCTTAAAAACTAGGACCAACTCTTATTTTAAACACAGGGGCCCCAATTAAAATCTGTTGAATTAATTTTAGCAACACCACACTGGTGTTCAGACTCAGACACACTCTGGGGCTTCACAAAAAGTCATCATGTCACCTTCAAATGCCCTTCAAGACAAGTTTGTCAGCTCCTATACCAGCTGTGAGGGAAGAGCCTGGGGAATGAGCCTGAAGCTCCAGACTGGAGACAATGTAGTCACTCTCAGAGCCCAATGCCACCCAATGCACCTGGCAATGGAGATACCCACAGTCTGCTTAACAATTAGGAAAAAAATAAAGACGAGAACATGTTGAATAAAGGTGAAATTGGACTGGAAGGTGAGTCTAAAAAAAATCATATATTGAAATAGGATGAGATAATAATCTGTGCAGGACATAAAAAAGAGTCAGCCACAAGGAAACCTTTTCACTCCTGGTGTTTTCTGATGGGAAGTAAAGCAAAAATGTGTCTCTGATTGTTTGCAATTAATTTCTCACAGAACTATAGGAACAAAGAAAAACTCGCGGAAATGAACGACGCAATGTCTCAGATGGAGGAGGTGGGCAGCAGGTTTTTGCTGCCTTTCTGCAAAAGCAAAGACCTAATATTAAATCTGAAAAATTCCAGATGGCTGCGATCAAGTCCCATGGGGATACGCTCTGCAGTGCGTCCAGGCAGTGGGGGAGAGCTATCGATTTCAGAGTGTTTTCTAAGGATTAGTCATGTTGAGTTTCTATGCTCAATGTCTCCCGCACGCCTGGATTTGTGGAATTTCAAGACATATGGAGTATTTCAACCCTCACTCAGTATTTCACCTTGCACTGTAACAAGTCACTAAGTTATACGACTGAGACATATACATCATACATTATGCCTGGAAATGGGCATAAAATGTTTTACAGAATTTAGCTCAGGAGAAGAGAAATATTGTGAAATCAGCAATCTAAGTAGTTATTTGTTAAAACAGAGGGGTTGAATCTCAGGAATAGACAATCTTCCTCCATCTGACAACTAAGGAATGCATAAAAGCTCACGGCTTCTTCCCACGGCACCTGGAAGATTTGTGTTTTTGTCCCAGGCTTTTGATCCCTCTTCCATATTCACTTTATCTTGGAGAGAGCATCAGCTAAACTATGATGAGCACTCAAATAACTCCAGAATTTAAAGTTCTCTTCCTCACATCTTTCTTGATCACCAGTCTTTTATTACAGTCTATAGAATATTTATATTTTATTTTGCATTTTTTTGGTATTTCTTACACTTTCATTTACATTTCATATAAATTCAGCAAAGTAACACAACAAAAACAAAGACTCAAGCCCTGCATGTAAAATTGTTACTTCTATTTTATTAAAACTTAATAATTACTATTCAGGTTTAAATATTTCAATTTGTGTTGACTTAAACCTGAATAATAATTATTACTTGAGACCATATTAAGTTCCAGGCCCAGTGTCAAGTGATGGAGATAAGAAGGGGAACAAGATATGAATTTCATGGAGCTGATAATCTAGTGAAGAAAAATTGTGAACAAATGATTACAATTAAGTGAAGAAATATAATGATCAAGACCTATATAAAGAGGTTTTGTAGAAGAGAGGGAGATCAATTTTGTCCCTAAAGCGGGAAAGGAGGCGTCAGAAAGCAAGAACCATCTGCGCTGGGCTTTGCAGGGTAAGTAGAATCTTAGTTGGTAAGTAAGAAAGGAGAGGAATGCCAGGTAGAAGCAACAGACATCTGAAAAGGAGTGCAGATGTGAAATTTCATAATCTGGTATTCGATACACAAGTAATTCTGTGTTGTTAGACTGTAAAGAAGTAATTAAAGATAGGAGTAGAGACATAAGAGGCAGGGCCATGTCATTCCAAACTAGTGGTTCCAAACAGAACGTACCCCATGCAAATATGAATAATACACAAAAAGGAACCAGCATATCTACACAAAGATGCCCCGAGGAAAAAAAAAGCAAGACAGGGATGAGCCAACAAACGTAGGCTGGGAACATACGAAAAAGGTGCGGCATAAAGCAGGTAAGAACTGTTAACAGATTTCCATTTAGAACTGGAGAAAGAGAAGGACGGGAGGAAGGAAGATTTAATGGAGGAAGAAATAAGGGATGGAAATGGACCTTTCCAGGAATAGAAACTTAAAGAAACGACAGCAGAGGGAACGAACTAAGATTCACCCAGAGTCTTTGAACTAGTAATTTATAGAGCAAGCGTGAGGGCTTTTTCCTCTGTGTCACCACTGCACTGGGAAAAGAAGGTGAAGAGGAGATGAATGATAATTAAAAATATATTAAGAAATGATCCATTCATTTATTCATCCATTCAAGCTTTATGGAAATGGTTTTGCTTTTGTTCACTTTACTTTTCTATTAAATTTTGACTTGAAGATTTGCTGGTAAAAGTCTGCATTGGAATGTTATCCTGCTTGGTAGAACATTCATGCTTTTCTCTCCTTTTAACTGAAAGCAACACTTTTCAAACTAGGGTCCATGTGGGAACTTGAACATGAAGGAAGCTCCAGGAAGACGACACTATTTTTAGATGATGAATTATATAATTTGGTTGGTAAAATTATAGTATTTTTTTATATGGAAACTGGCACAGCCATACTATGGATTCAAAAGCAAAAGTCACTTGAATTCTTAAAATAAAGCAAATAAACTTCAAAAATATCTGTGTTTAAAGCAGACAGCTTCAGGCAATGTCTCCATGGTCCCCAGGAGGGTGTTTGTAATCTTCTGGAATAGGGATGTTTCCAAGGAAGTCTGAAAATATGAAATGATCCACCTAAATACATTAATAACATTTTGGAATGAATCATGTTTTGAGATTAATGTATGCAGATATCAATAAACTGAAGGAATGAGACATAGCGCATACATTGGCTAGTGGCCACTGTATTGGACAGAACTTGTCATCACTTAAGACACAAGGAATCTCTAAGAAATTCAAAGGTAGGTATTTAGATTGCCTTCCATCGGCACGTTTCCCTTCGAGACTTCCAATCTGTCTAGTAGATCAATTACAAGGCCTAAGGACATTGAAAAATGTGCCCAGTTTTTACCAGCAAAGTAGTAATACCGAAGAGCAAAAGAGTGTGATATTTATGAAGGCAAAAGAGTCTTTAAGAAGTACTGCACTCCTTGTGATGTTTTATTGTTTTTAATCAACAAGCCTGGAACTGAGATGATGGGCATTGTGACTATTTCAGCCTTTACGACGGGCTATAATGCTTTGCAATGCGTTTCAGGTGCATGCACTTCTTGGCAAGCTGGATGGAATTCTCTATACCTGCAAGCTCATCCTAACACAATGTGTCTACTTTTTCAGCCTCTATAGTTTCTTTTGTTTTTATCTCTTGTCTTCAATAGCATCCATGTCTTTCCTACTTGGCCCTCCTTGGGATGTCTATATCATTTCTTTCTTTGGAG